GTCAATTTGCCTTTCCAACCTTGGTTCCCCCTGTAGTCATTACTTTTCCCAAATATAGAACTTTTAGTTCCTGGCTCTCCCCAGAATCTTCTCAGAGCATAAACTCTCGTTCCTTTGGGGGTATTGGGTGTTTTTATTATACTCCTCTCCCCAGTCTCTCTGCTTTTATGATCTTTTGTGGGTGTGAGAGGATGGGGGCAAAGTCCTTATTTTCCCGGGCCCCTTCCAATGTCCTGGCCTTGGCCTTCAGTGACAATTTTGTCTCTTCCCTCCCCATTTCCTTTATAGGTTTCGATCTAAGTACCACCCAGATGAGGTGGGGAAACGTCGTCAGGAGGCCCGGGGGGCTCTACAAAACCGACTGAGGGTGTTCCTGTCCCTCATGGAGAGTGGCTGGTTTGATAATCTTTTCCTGGACATAGACAAAGCTGATGCCATTGTCAAAATGCTGGATGCAGGTGTGCAGACTGGTTGGGGTAATGGGTATCTCATGATCAAAGTCTTGGTTGGGAAATAGAAGTAGGTTGACAGAAAGCCAGAGACTGAAGTGCCAGGGCCCTTGGATTGTGACTTTTGTTCCCTCTGCTGGTAGCTGTGATTAAGATGGAAGGAGGTACAGAGAATGATCTACGCATCTTGGAGCAGGAGGAGGAGGAGGAACAGGCAGGAAAGCCTGGGGAACCCAACAAGAAGGAGGAAGGCCGGGCTGGGTCAGGCCTTGTGGATGGAGAGCGCAAGGTCAATGACAAGGAAGATAAGAAAGAAGATGGCAAACAGGTCAGTGTTAGGGCCCCTGCGTGCTGTCTGTGAGTACCAGGGGAAGTGAAGGGAGCTATTTCGATGGTAGTGGGGTCCACAGGAGTTAGAAGTAGAGGGCTGTGTGTTGGGGTGGGGGAGAGGTGAACTTATGGGCTCAGCTGTTGAAGTGGAAGGGGTTGATGGGGAGATAGATATCCCAGTGACTGTCTTTACCTGTAGGCTGAAAATGGTAGTTCTAGTGATGACAAAACTAAGAAATCTGAGGGTGAAGGGGACAAGGAAGAGAAGAAAGAAGACTCTGAGAAAGAAGCCAAAAAGGTAGGGACTCTCTTAAATGGAGTCAAAGTTAGGGCAGGGGTCCTTGTTATCTGGCTCATGTCTTCTTGCTGTGGCTCCCACAGAGCAGCAAGAAGCGCAACAGGAAGCACAGTGGTGACGACAGCTTTGATGAAGGCAGTGTGTCCGAGTCGGAGTCAGAGTCAGAGAGTGGCCAAGCTGAGGAGGAGAAGGAGGAGGCTGGTAGGTTTTATTTTCTGCTTATAATTCATTCTCTTCGTATGAACAGTGGGGTGGGTGAGAAGTTGGTGAAATTGATGGGACGGTGGCCTCTTGGGAGAGACTGAGGGGTGGGGTGGGAGTTTGACAGCTTTTCTATCCTCTCCAAAACCAACAATAAAACTCACCAACTCCCATCACTTCCTGTGTAGAAGAAGCTCTCAAGGAAAAGGAGAAACCCAAGGAAGAAGAAAGGGAGAAGCCCAAGGATACTCCTGGGCTGGAATGTAAACCCCGGCCTCTGCATAAGACTTGTTCTCTCTTTATGCGCAACATTGCACCCAACATTTCCAGGGCTGAGATAATTTCTGTGAGTGGGGAAAAATGGCATTGGGGGCAGGGACAGCACCCGGGCTCCATTCTTCCAGGGGTGGGAGGAGGCACTAGGTGGGGAGAGGATAATCTGGCAATGCTTCTGACATTCATCACTATTTCTCTAACAGGGAGGATCCCTTCTCATGGGTGCATGTCTTTTGAGAACTGGTCCTGGTTGTACCATTTACTTTCAAGTGCTACTCTTAAGTTCTTTGTTGTTTTTTCCTTACCTGAGTAGAGGCTTATAGGCAGTTCCTTAGGGTTCTGAGGACATGGGGTTTGAAGGAAGAAGTGAATCCTTGAATCATTAAGTGGAGTTTCTGTTCCTCTGCCTTTCCAGCTTTGTAAAAGATATCCAGGCTTTATGCGTGTGGCACTATCAGAGCCTCAGCCTGAGAGGAGGTGAGGAGTGGAGAGAAGTGTGACCCTGGGTAATTTGGAGAAAAGGTGCAGGGGAAGGTTAATGATCAGCATCACCTCCACCCCAGGATTATTTTGACATCTTTGTTCTTGTTTAGGTTTTTCCGTCGTGGCTGGGTGACATTTGACCGCAGTGTTAACATCAAAGAAATCTGCTGGAATCTGCAGAACATCCGAGTGAGTGCTGGGAGCCGGACTGTTTTGAGGAAGAGGTGTGGCTCTGTATGCTGCACACCTCTTACTGCTTTTTTTCATTGATTGCTTCTTTCATTTTGCTTCCTATTTCATCCATTCAGTCTGCTCACATTAATTGTGTACTGTTATCTGTGGGCTAGGCCCTGGGACTGTCCTCAGGGAACTCACAGCCTATTCACTGCTCTCACTAGGGCCAGTCTTTTGGTGTTGGTAAGCTTTCTTTACCTTCCAGCTCCGGGAGTGTGAGCTGAGTCCTGGCGTGAACAGAGACCTGACCCGTCGCGTCCGCAATATCAATGGCATTACCCAACACAAGCAGATAGTGCGCAATGACATCAAGCTGGCAGCCAAGCTGATCCATACGTTGGATGACAGGACCCAGCTCTGGGCCTCTGAACCTGGGACACCTCCTCTGCCAACAGTCAGTGACTCTCCATAGAACTTTTTCAAAAGCAGCCAACACCCCCTCATCTGTGGGCATCTCTGATCTTACATGATCTGTGGCATTGACCCTTTGTGCCCTCCTGCTTGTTGGCCCCTCTTTATCTAGGCAGTACCTCCAGTTTCCAGCAGAACAGATTGGTGTTAGTGACTATTTGTGGGCTGTGGTAGAACAAATACAAACATGAAGACAAATCCTAAGGCAGTGATAACAGGCCAAGTGAGCCTTGAATTCTTTCGGCCTCACTTCGCCTTTCAAATTAGGTTCCTAGGCTACATACTCTGAGGGTCTTTCTCTGTCTTACTTGCCTCTCTTGTCCCTCAACTAGAGTCTGCCCTCTCAGAATCCAATCTTGAAGAATATCACTGACTACCTGATCGAAGAAGTGAGTGCTGAGGAGGAAGAGCTGCTGGGGAGTAGTGGGGGGGCACCCCCTGAGGAGCCTCCTAAGGAAGGGAACCCAGCAGAGATCAACGTGGAGCGAGATGAGAAGCTGATCAAGGTGCCAGCAAGAGCAGAGTGTGGGGTGAGAGCCTGGTTCGCGGTGGTAAAGGGCACAAGTGTGATAAACTCGTGGTTTCTCATTTTCTCCTAGGTTTTGGACAAACTTCTCCTCTATTTGCGCATTGTGCATTCCCTGGATTATTATAACACATGCGAGTACCCCAATGAGGATGAAATGCCCAACCGCTGTGGCATCATCCATGTTCGGGGACCCATGCCACCCAATCGCATCAGTCATGGGGAAGGTGAGCTCTCTGTCTGAGTTCCCTTTGGTCCCCCTTTCTCCCCAGCTACCTCTTGTTTTCTACTCTGGAGCAGTGCTCTGTCACTTTCCTCTGATCCCCACCTTTCATATTTCTTGGTCCTGGCTCCCTTCTCCAACCTACCTTCTGTCTTTATTCCCAAACTACAGTATTAGAGTGGCAGAAGACATTTGAGGAGAAGCTGACTCCACTGCTGAGTGTGCGGGAATCTCTTTCAGAGGAAGAGGCCCAGAAGATGGGTCGAAAGGATCCTGAGCAGGAAGTGGAAAAGTTTGTCACCTCTAACACCCAGGAATTGGGCAAGGATAAGTGGCTATGCCCTCTCAGTGGCAAGAAATTCAAGGTCTGGGATGTTAGAGAGTTGTGGGACAGGTGGGAGGAGTGGGTTGAGCCAGGAATCTGCCTCCAGACCTGGAAGGAAACGTCTTTGGGACCAGGTGGGAGGGGAGGGTGATTATCTTGGGGTGTGGGGAGCTAGGGAACTGCTTGCTCAGTTCTGATCCTCTCCTCTTGGCATCCAGGGCCCTGAGTTTGTACGTAAACATATCTTCAACAAGCATGCAGAGAAAATTGAGGAAGTAAAGAAAGAAGTGGCATTCTTTAACAACTTTCTCACTGATGCTAAGCGTCCAGCTCTGCCTGAAATCAAGCCAGCTCAGCCACCTGGCCCTGCCCAGAGTAAGATACGATCCATGAGGGTCTACCACATTCCCTCTTCCATGACAGTTGAAGGACTCCTGGTTCTTTAACCAGTTGCACCCTGAAGTTTTGCCCAACCCTCAGGCCGTATTTCTAAAAGCCAGTTGCCTGTATCCTGCCACCCCCCCCCCCCCCCCGCAGTAATTCATGTTCCTGTCTGTGTTGTACTCCCCCCAGGCCTGACCCCGGGACTCCCCTACCCACACCAGAGTCCCCAGGGCCTGATGCCCTATGGTCAGCCCCGGCCCCCCATTTTGGGCTATGGAGGTAAGTATAGGAGGGATTTGAAAGGGTTTGGTGGTTTTGAGGGGTTGGGAGAAAGAAAGCAGCTAAAATGTAGACGTCACAGGTTCTCAGCTCAACACTGATCTTTTTCATAGCTGGTGCTGTCCGCCCTGCAGTCCCCACAGGAGGGCCTCCATATCCCCATGCCCCTTATGGTGCTGGCCGAGGGAACTATGATGCCTTCCGAGGCCAGGGAGGTTATCCTGGGAAACCTCGCAACAGGTGAGCTAAGATGTCCGAGCTTTCTTGCCCGCTTCAAATTGGGACCCTCAACTCTCATCCCATTTTACCTCTTTCTTATCTCACAGGATGGCCCGTGGAGACCCACGGGCCATTGTGGAATACCGTGACCTGGATGCTCCAGATGATGTAGATTTCTTTTGAGCCATCTACTTTTCCTCACTCTCGGTATCCTATACTTATGACTGCCATGTCCCATCCAGCTCTGAACATTTTTTGTACGTCCAGCCCTACTGCCAATAAAAGCACTTCTGCAGTGACTCCTGAGTACATATGTACTTCCCAAGATCCTCCCAAACATTGGCTGGGACAGTGGTTAAGCTGGGCCTTGCCATTTTATTGATGCCAGTGGTCCCAGGCTCTACTGGGGCTTCCTGGGGGCCTAACATTGGGCAGTGTCTAAGCCTCTGCCTTTTGAGAGTAGGTAGGTGGGTGTGCGGGAATAGTCTCAGTTCTGGGACAAGAGTCTCAGTTCTGGGCGTGCAGCTGTTCTTTTTCAGAGTTATGGCTGGTCCAACACAAGTTGTAGAAGGAGTTGGGGTCAAAAGTTGTGTTCACCTCCTGCCAGCTGACCCACCCAGCAGCCTGTAGTTGACTGGGGGTTTTTGGAGCACCCCAGCAGTGAGGGTCCAATACTAGGACGTAGGCTTCGGTGCCTGGCCCCAGGCAGACTCCTAGCAAGGCTTTGGACCGCGCATCTGCATCTCCCCCAACCATTACAGGCCCCCCACCTACTGTAAAGTGGGAGTAAAGCCTCTCCAGTTCCCCCCGAAGCCCAGCTCCACGAGGAACGTGGCGCAGGCGCCCCTGGGGCCCTCCAAAGTAGTCGAGACAGAGACTGGCCTCTACGCAGCCGATCCAGCTCCGGGAGCCCCGAAACCCAGGGGGCTTGTCGCCCATGTCCTCCAGTGCCGCCTGCACGTCCACCAACCCGGGTACACCCGCAGCTTGGCCGTTTGGCCATGAGCATAGCGTTTGTAGAGTGCGGTATCCGCAGCCCCAGCCCCGGTCGTCCAGGCCGTCGCAGCCGTAGTGATAGTAGAGGTAGTGGCCCGGAAGGATGGCCAAGCGAACGGGGCCACGGCCGGGTGGGGCAAGGCCCAGGTGGACATCTTTTAGCAGCTCCAGGGCGGTTGGCGGGAGCGGAGGTTGTCCAGGCAGGGCAGATGTTGTGTCTAGCGGTGTGGGGAAAACTTGGGCTCCAGCACTTACTCTCAGTGCTGGGTCTTGGGCTAGCCGCTGGCAGGACTGGCAGGCAGGCTCTGGCAACAACTTGCCTGGCACCGGGAAGCAGTGGAGACGGAGTCGACCCTCAGGGTTCCCACAATGCACCGCCGCGCCAGCACCACCCTTACTGCGCAGACGCGAGTTTGCCTCGCGGAGGCAGTAGAGGGCGCCCTGTATTCCACCTCTGAGCCAGGCCGTCGGCTCTGATGACCAGCCCTCCATTCCCTCAGCCCTAGTGGTTAGGCGTTCTGCCAGACCCCGGCTTCCCAATCGCGCACACGCCTTTGGCTGTAACAGTTTATTGGCAGCCCAGAGGGGCGAAGGCACCGCGGGGTAGGGGCTCGGCCGAGACATGCAGAAGACGCAGAAGACTGGGAGCCCCGGGAGAGGGAGGGAGTTGGGGCGGGCGAGGTCTAGGGCTCCTCTGTTATATCCCAGCCCTCAGATAAATAGTATATACAGCTAGGGGACCGGGCAGGGTGGGCGTGGTGGTGGAACTTGGGGGTCCCGCCTGGGTCACAGGTCTGAGCAGCGATCCTGCTTGCTGTAATGGTCAAACTGGTTCTTCCAGTGCACCATGTAGGAGCTCCAGCGGTGGAACTCGGCCTTCCACTGGCGCTCTGCCTCGTCCAGCGTGTCTGCGGCCAGGGTGCCCGGCAAGGGGTTGGGAGGAGGACATGGGGAAGTCCAGGGAACGGACATGGGGTACGGGGCGTGAGTGCAGGAGGACACAAGGAGTAAGTAGGAGGCCACGTGGGGTGGTGGAAAGAGGATTAGAATATGAGAGACGAAAGACCGGGGAAGATGAAGATAGAGGGGCACCAGAGAAGGATGGTGGGAAGGAGGATGGAGGGGTAGAAAATGACCGGAAGACAGGAGGAAGTAAGGGATCAGGAGGGTGGAGCATCCATGGATTGATGGGGGAAAAAAGAGACAGAAATGTTTGACGGTTATAGCCCCACTGGGAGGTGCTATCTAGCCCCAGGTCTTCCCTCTCCCCCCAACACCAAGCTCAGGCTCTAAGGAATAATTTTATATAAAAAGAGAATTGGCTTTTTCATTTGCATTTAAACAAAGGCGTGTGGGTCCCTGAGAAGGGTCGTAGGTCACCACTCCCCTTGTCCAGTTTGAGGCGCTCTGAGGGAGGGAGGGGGCGCTGGGTCGGAGATCCCTGAGTGGGGCCCTTCCCCACGGTCCGACTACTCATTAGAGGAGGGGCCCAGTGAGGCCGGAGGAGGGGAAGAGGCTGTGGTCACAGCCACGGGAGGCTGGAGAAAAGGAGAACGAGAAGGAGGGGTAGGGGGAGGCCGGGCCTGGGCCTCGGGGCAGCCTCCGCGTGGGCGGGGCCTGGGCAGGTGCTGGGAGCCTCCGAGGCTGGTGGGGAGAAGAGAGGGGTTATACACCCCGCCGGCTCCCATTACCCACTCTCTCTCCGCGCCCCACTTCTCCCCCCTCTGCTCAGCCCCTGCCCACTGGGTCCCCGCGTACCGGTGGCGCTGAGCAATTTGGGTAGGAAGCCGTTCCAGAAGGCACAGGCCTGGGCGCGCAGCCCCCGCCGCACCTCCAGCGGCCGCAGGTTGAGGCTCACATACTGCTGCGCTTTCCCCGTGTACGGCGGCCACTGCGGAGCCTTGGGGTCCTGGGGGTCATTAGGGTCCCTGTGGAAGGAAAGGGAAGGCTCAGCCTCAGGCAAGCCCGACTTGCCCTGGGGTTGGGGAATGGAGATGGAGAGGAGGAGGAGGCAGTCTGCTTCCAGACCCCATGCCCTCTTCGCTCCAAGGAGAGCCCCATCCCTTCCCTCCCAGTACTGCTTTAATCCTTTCTCTTCTCCAATATCCCTCATCATCTAGAGTCTTCCCCTTCCTCCTGCCCGCTTTCTGTTTCTCCTTTCCCTTTCCTTCAAATTTCCTGCGCCATCGTGGTCTGTTTCTCATTAAAAAAAAAAAAATCATGATTTATCGAGCTCTTACAGCGTAACCAGGCCCAGTCCTATCTGTACAAATATCACACTTGCTTTTAACATCGCCCATATGATATTGGATTTATTGTCCCCTTCTTCAGACAGGTAAAATGTGTGCACTCGTGCATCACAGCTAATGAAATCACCACTGATCCAATTGATCTAGCTCTACAGTTCACACTCAACTACTATGGTAACTCCTCTGTCTCTCCTTGTTTGGCTCTTCTCTTTGCCTGTCTCTGTTGTTGTCCTTGTCTCTCCAGGATCTGTCACCCCACTTCTTCCTTCCTCTCCCATTCTCCTTGGTCATCTTCTCTCTCCTCTTTTGTCTCCTTTCCTTTGTGAACTTCCCCCCCTCTTTCTAGCCCTTCTTGTCTCTCTGCTTGTCTTCCACTTTCTCTTTCTGTCCCCCCTGCCTCCCTAGCTCCCAGAGGCCATCCTCCCCTCCTCACTGCTGACCCTGTGCGGGCGAAGTTGGCCCAGTATTTCATCAGTCGCTGGGCAAAGGCTCTCTCCTCGATGGTGTAGTTTAGCGAGGGTTCCAGGGGGAGCCCAAAGATGAACTCGATCTCGTAGCCGTGGGGCACCCCCATCCAGAGGGGCCAGGAGAGCGTAGATGCACGGTGTTCAAAGATGTAGGCATAGACCTGAGCACCCTGGGCAGCCAGTCGCCCAGCCAGTTGGGCCACAGGGCACACGACATTGTGGTCGCCCACCACATTGCTCATGGCCTCTCTCAGGCGTGCTGGGTCCTCAGGGTTCAGCCAGTCTGTGTAATGCAGCACCACAGCCTCGGCAGCCAGGTCACTTGCCTGGGGGACCCCGACCCGCACCCCAGCCAGGAACTGTGCCCGGCTGATGAGAGACTCGTTGTCTTTGCTGAAGCCTGGGGCCCCGTAAACCAGAAAATAGGAGCCCTCATCCTTCACCACACCCACCAGCACCTGGGGGAACAGGAGGAAGTAATGGGAATGGGTGGAGGTGGGGGCAGACACAGACAGACACACAGACAAAAACAGATGGACAAAGAACCAGAGAGATGAACAGTTACAGATGCAGAACCACAGAGGAAGAGAGTATGAGATTGGGGAACAGGTGGAGAAAAGGAAAAAATATACCCATATTTTTTTTTCTCTCTGTCCCACTGGCCACCCCGGGATCAAGCCCTCAAGGAAGAGAAGCCTGGGACTTTGGGGATGGGTTTTGTGGATCCCTCATGCCTGGGTCCCCAGGGGGAGGATGGGAAGGAGAACAAGCCTAGAGGAACCAGTTCCACCCACTCCAGCCATTAGTCACCTGCAGGCCCTGGAAGTCTCCAGCATTGATGAGGGCCTCGGGCGTGTCACTGAGGAAGTCTCCGTCTATCACAGGCACAAAAGAGAAGCGGAAGACGCTTTCCTGAGGCAGCACATGCCACTCGTGGTCCACCAGGTCCTGAGCTGGCCGTGTCCGCAGGCAGGCAACCAACTCTGTGTCATTGCTACCAGCCCCACCTGGGGGACAGCCTACAAGGCGGGCCAGTAGTGTGGCCCTTCGGCGGGCCTCTCCCATGCCCACCGTAGCCCATGGCCCATTGGGTGCACCACTCTGCAGCACAGCCCTGTGGAACAGACTCCGGCTGGGTGGGGACAGAAGGTGCATGCCCACAGAGGCGGCACCTGCACTCTCCCCAAACAGAGTCACTGACATTGGGTCCCCCCCGAAGGCTGCTACATTCTCCTGTACCCACTGCAGGGCCAGCCTCTGGTCCAGGAGACCCACATTGCCTGGGGCCTCCCTGCTCCCTGGCAGGGCCAGGAAGCCAAAGGCTCCCACCCGGTAGTTCATGGATACCAGCACAGTCCCCTCTGCTTGGGCCAGGAAGCGGCCATCATACACATCCAGGGAGGAGGCCCCACTGTAGAAGCCACCCCCATAGATCCAGACGAGGACAGGGGCGGGGGACGCAGGCCGAGGGTATGGTGTCCACACGTTGAGGTACAAGCAGTTCTCACTCAGCTCACGGTTGGGATTCCACATCTCCGTGCCCTCAAAGCCAGGGTACAAGGTGTCCACGTATTGGTAGCAGACACTTTGGAAGGCTGTGGCATTCAGTATCCCTGACCAGGGCCGCTTGGGCTCCGGTGGCAGAAAGCGACGGGGGCCCACGGGTGGTTCTGCGAAGGGGATGCCCAGAAAAGCAGAGACAGGGCCCCCAGGGGCCATTACGCGGATGCCACGAAGATGGCCCCCACGCACTGTCACAAGCAGCTCTGGGTCCTCCGGGTGCTCAGCTTCTGCCCCTCCTCCCAGGAGGAAGAGGAGGAGGAGAAGAAGTGGGGACGCTGGCAAGAGAGTGTGCAGGGGACAGCATGGGGGCCTCATGGCTACCAAGGCAGGCGGGCAGCTGCTGGGAGAAAGAAAGGCAGAGGATGAAGGCCTGAGGCTGCTAGGAAGGAGATTAGGTAACACTCCTGCTCCAGGGTTATCTCTAAGCTTCAGAGAAGGTGGGGCAGGCTGGCAAAGAGGAAGCGAGAAATGGAGGAAGGGAGGCAGACCAACAGAGACAAGGACACAGGCAGAGAAGCAAGAGGGGACAGAGATCAGGCACACATACACCCAGACAGACAGATGTAAGGAACAGAAATGAGACCTTCCAAGCAATACCCTCCCCTGCCCCACAGAAGACCCACTGCCCTCACCTCCTTCCCCCAGCTGGGTGGACTGGTTTGGGCCCAGTGCGAGCAGTGCGGGTACCCGCACAAGAGGCCGCAGTCCACGTACTGGCCACAAGACAGGGGCGGGGCCCTCGCTGACGCGAGGCGGATGGGGGCGCTCGCAGTGGCGTGAAGGCTCAGCCGCTTCTGCCGATGGCCAGGGCCGGGGCCCTGGAGGGTGGGTTGGGCATTCAGGGTGTGGGAACCACAAGTTCTGGGGCACCCCAAATCCTGCCTACTCCACAACTCTACCCTCCCAGCCCGCCTCATCCACTGTCTGGCACAGCGCGCTGGTACCCTTGGGTGCCTGTCAGTTGCGCACTCCTGTCGTCTAGCCTCAGAGAACGGATTCGCCAGCCTTGGACCCCAGGACTCCAGTTCTCAGTCCGTCCGACGCTGCTGTGCATGCTGCCGCCAGCGGGGGGCACTAGAGACCGAGACAATATCGGCGCTCCCCGCCCGGAGTAAAGAAGCCGGGAACTTAGGGCGGGGGTCTGGGGGCTTGCGGGCATTGCAGAGGGGTCTGGCGAGCGAACCGGGACGCCTGTGTTCACGGAGCTCCGGAGATCCCCCGCTGCAGGGGCGGGGGCGCTATTTTGGGGCAGCAGCTGCTGTGGTTCCGGCATCTTCAGCCAAAGGATCAAAATTCCCCGGGTCGGAACTCCCCCCCTCTCGCGGCGGTCACCCAGCCGCCGGCGTCCTGAGATAGGGTGGTGATGGTGCTGAGATTAACTAGGAAACTCGAGTGGGGCTAATTATAACTCGGGTCTTCCGCTGAGTCTCCCCTTCCCTCCAAATAGAGACGGAATCCCCGCGGGAGGGGGATGCCTGGGCCTGGCAGGGGGCTTACGCTGGGCGCTTCGCAGGGGCGCGCGGGTGGCCGGATTGGGGTGGGGTCGGGGGAAATGGGAGCCGGACGCCAGGAACCTGCGTGGACTGGGTTCCGCCCCAATAAGGGGGCGTCTTATAGTGGCCCCGGACTTGAGGACCAACGGGCTAGGGGTGCTCGGTGGTCCCCACAGGAAATCGAGAGCAGAGGCAGCCGCCAGCCGTTCAGGGTGCGGGCTCCCTACGCAGGCGACCGTAAGTCTCCAGCGGCGAGCGAAGAGTTAAGGATGAGTGTGAGGTGGCGGGGGCGCCGCTGGGCAGGCCCGGGGGCGCAGTGGGCGTCAGGTTTGGGGGCCTGGATCCCTCCGGGAGCGCACTGTGCCCCGGACGCGGAAGGGGTCGAAGGCTGGGGGAGGGTCCCGGACGGGGCGGGAGACTCACCTGAGGCGGCCAAGCGGGGCCGGGCCGGGCCGCGCCGGGAGCTGGAGGCGGCCGATGTTCCCCGGCGCTGGCTGAGCAGACTCTGACAGCCGCCGCCTCCGGCCCCCCGCACACACCCCCTCCGGCCCGGCACTGCGCCCCCGCCTCCGCCCACTGTCTCCGCCCCCTCCCCTCCCCACCGCCCGGAGCTGCCACCTCCTCTCCCTTTTCCTCCCTGGGAACCCAGACCCACAGACCCCGAGGCCGAGACGGAGCCCGTGACAGACGCCGACTGACGTCCAGACACACCGTGACCCGCACTACCAAAAGACCCGCAGTGGCGGAGCAGACGCCCACAAGACCGACAGCTGAACAGAAACCCGGGGAAACACACACACACACACACACACACACGCAGACGGACGGTCCCTTGCAGTGACAGCCACAAACGCAGTGAGACATTGACAGACGGATGGACACTCTAGGACAGGGTGACAGCCTCGGTCTGAGCTGGGGGACAAATAAATGAGCATCCTTGGCCACAACACAGCGGGGATGGCACGGGGCGTGGGGGGGGGGGGAGGACCGGCATGTGAAAGTGTGGCTGAGGACCCCCCTCAGAGGATCGGGTGGTAGTGCTGGAGAAAAGGTGACATGGGACACTCTTGGGGACGAGGGCGCAACTGTGGAAATGAAGATGTGGACACGAGACCATGAGTGGAAATGAAGGGGACCCCCATAAAGGAGACGGGAGGAGGGAGAAGTGACTCGCAGATAGTCCAGATGGAAGGCCAAAGCGGTGGCACGCAAAAGGGTGCGGTGCGAGGCCGCCCTCCGCCGCCACAGTAGAAACTTCCGGAACCCCTGCGGGTGGGTTTGCGCTTGTTTCCTGACGGGTGACCTCGGACTTTCGTCAACAGGGCCCGGTAGGTATGACATCACTATGCCAGGCTCTTATTGGCCGCTGCGACGGGCAGGTGGGAGCGGCGTGGCCCGGGGACCCCTAGACTGTTCCGGGGGGTCGGAGCCTCACGGACCACCACGTCCAGCCCTAGGGGATCACCCATGGGGAAGTGTGGCCCCGAAGCCGTCTCCCACTCGAGGTGAGGGCGGAAAAGTGTGAGGCGGTACCCGCATGATTGCGCTGCCCGAAGATGCCACACTCTCTCTGGGTGGCCCTCTCCTGAACCTGCGGACGGCTGCTCGGAGACTCGCTGGCGCTGGCAAGCGTCCTGGCGTGCGCGCGCGCGCGAGCGAGGGTGCAGGGCGCCGCGTGGGGCGGCCGCGCGCGCTCACGCTCACTCAGCCGCCTAGCACCCCACAGAGTCCCCGGCTCGCGCTTGCAGCTGTGAGGGACCTAGGGTACCGGATCTGGGGTCTCAGGAGTGTCGTGGGATCCTCACGAATCGAGAAATGTGCCCCTCCCTGGGATGCGCGGTCCTGGTTCTCCTAGCTGGCACTCCCCACCCCCAAAGCTCGCTCGTGCGCCCCGCGGGAATTGGCCTCCGCAGGGCCAGGGATCGTCGCTAAGTCTAGTCCATTAGAGGGCGGTGGCCGCCAGGTGGCGCTGAAGGCAGCCGCTCCGGCCTCGGGGTCTACGTTGGAAAGCCGAGACTAAACCCAACGTCATCTCTTCCCACCTTTCAGCTTTCCGCGTTCCAGTCTTCAGGCACCCTAAATCCCCCGCACGGACACCGAAGTTCCCTGAATCCTGCCTTCAGCGTCCTGGTTGAGGGCTCCCCAGTGGTCAGACCATATCCCTCATTAGGGTTGTGAATAGAGACAGGAGACAGAAAAATGGACAGCCGGAGCAGCTGCGGGAGAAAAGGATGTGAGGCAGGTCTCCAAGTGTGGTAATTATGAATTATTAGAATGATAAAAACCAACAGTGAATGAATGAGCAGAGACCTGTGGAAATTTTTGGCCTGTAAAGGCCCTGACAGCGATGGGGCTTGCCTCCCTGTGGTTCTCCGAAAAGGGCTGTCCCATGCAAGTGCCTCACCTGACTTCTCTAACCAAGCGTCCCGAGGCCTGTACCACGAAGATAGCGAAGGAAGAGACAGCTTATAGCTCCGGGTTATCATGAACTAGTGACACCTTAGACAGTAGAAGGTGAAAAGACAGGGCATGTTCTAGGAGCTTGCCCAGCAAAGACTGCCTCAGAGAGGTCAGTGCTGAAAGCCTGGACCTGCCTCTAGAGTCAAAGACAGGACACCTGTGGTGATCTGGAATCTCTCAGGAAGGCAAATCATACATGCGTCTGGGGAGTGTTAAGTGGATTTAGCCAGAGAAAGTGTCCAGATACGTCTGCGAGGGGCTGGAGTGGAGAGCAAAAGCCAGGGCAGTTCCTGCCTGCCTGGGGATGGCATCTGTGAGGCAGTACCGTGAGGGATCCATGGGAGGTAAGGGGGAGGTGGGTTGTGAAAAGTCCTCAAGCCAGTCAGAACTTTATTCCTTTCAGGGGTGGGGACTATGGAGAGTCAGACAGCAGGAGGGAAGAGGAAGTAGAGTTTCCAAAGATGGTGGAGAATCTGGGGCAAGAGGGGATGCAGCCATTAATGTCAGCACCCCCTCCTCACTCCCCAGGCCTGGGGAGATGGGAAGAAGGGCAGGCAGGCCTAGTACGGGAAGGGGGGATGTATGGAAGGTTATGGGGGGGTTGGAATCCAAGGAGGGTGTCCTACTTCTGGAGCCCCTGATGTATGTCCCCATACCCTAGGTCAGGGAGGGGTCAGTTGAATGTTCAGTCGCATGAATCTGCAAGATGGCGTGGAGTGCTAGGGCATGCAGGCCCTTTGCCTCTAAGGCAGGTGTTGCAGAAGGAGGCCTGGGTCTCTACAGCTGTAAGCGGCTCTGGGAGGTGTGCCCATGGGCCACACGTGTGTCCTCAGCCTGCAGTGTGTCCCAGGTTGTGAGGATGGAGGAGACCATGCAGCTTGTGTTTCCATCTCAGGGAAGTTTTTTTTTTTTAAATTTTAAATGTATATTTATTTTTAAAACAGTGATAAGATATACTTTTATTTACTTTGTTGAGTCAGAGGGTTGTAAAAACTTATTGCTAAAGTAGGTATCAGGAAAACAGAAAGGTGCTTTAGAAGTCCAGTTACCTTGGAGTTTATTTAAACAGAGAAAAATATCATAATGTTTTCAGGCAATACATGCTTATTTCTTTAAATAACAATTGTGACAAATAACAGAAAGAATTAAGGAATATTGCACTTGTGATCCATATAAAACACCAACATTTTGTGTTGTACATAATTTAAAGAAATGTCTCAAACATTTAAAAAAAATTCTGTTATAGTCAATACAGAGAGGCATGCCTTAAGGGGCCATAGGAATGCAGCTTATTATTTTTATTTTTTATTTTAGAGAGAGGAGAAGGGAGGGAGAAAGAGAGGGAGAGAAACATGGATCGGCTGCCTTCTATACCCGGAACCTGCAACCCAGGCATGTGTCCCGACTGGGGAATTGAACCAGTGACCTTTGGGTTTGCAGGACTGCCCAACCAACTGAGCTCCAGTGGCCAGGGCCATTGGAATGTGGTTTAGAAAAGAAAGGAAAAAACTCACACTGGAACTACTCAATTTCTTAAAAAATCGCTGAGTAAGGAAAGCAACATTGAACTGCCATCCTGATTGCGTGCAGCTTCTCCACAGTACCTTGACTTAAATCCAAGAGCAAAAGTTAACACTCTCTTCCTCTACTTTTGGTAAGCAACTGCATGCAAACTTAGATGACCTTTCCCCCTGGATTTTACCTAGGCATGGCCTTTTAAATGTTTTCTTTAAAAGAAGACAGGTCTGGCACTTTTATACTGATGTCACCAAATATTTCTTGGGATCTCAGGAAGATTCACATTCTTTACAGCTGATGCAGCACGGGCTGGAGCTCCTGTTAGACCAGCCTCCGATTTCTCCAGTTAATGCACCGGTGTGTGTCATAGTTCCACGCATGTTGGTCCCCAGTGCCATTCCCCCAAGGACCACCTCTGCAGGAATATTGTGAACCTTGTGTACATGGAAAATTAAATCCAGTACACAGACATTTTCAAAACACTTGCCTAATGTTTATACAAGTACTTGAATGATAGCTCCAATGCCAAGTTCACTGTCCGGAAAATCCACACAGAAGACAAAGTATAACATTGCATAATGTCTATCAATCAGTTTGTTGTCAGATTCTCCAATTAATAATCCTCTTTTAAGGAAATTACAAACACTTGCATCTCTCTTGGATACCAAATGGAATATATCCCTGATGATTTGTTGCTGTGTATCTCCACCGTAAAGCTGGTGGAACTTGGAGAGCTGTGGCTTCCTGTGGTTGCTGAAGATGAGGATCGCATTGATCATAGCCAGGTGCTGGGAACCAGGGTGGAGGGCTGGCGCTCAGCCTTGCCTTGGGATCTCACCAGCGAGCCTCCTTCTCACAGGGTTTTTTAATTAGCAGGGGACCACCCCAAAGAGCCAGGATAAAGGGTGCATGTGTTGAAAGATCCACAGGGCCTTGGAGTAAGCCCTGGACTGGATGTCCTGATTCCTGGGTTATGGCGCAGTGCTCACAGTGAGACCTCTGGAAAGTCACACTACTTGCCTGGGCCTCAGTTTCTCCATGTGTAAAATGATGGATTGCGCTTATGTGTATGTCAGAATTATGGGGGTCATTTAGAGGGCTGCTCCACTTGGTGTTGGGTAGAGTCCTTACGTCTGTATTTTCAGCAGGTCATCAGGGCAGTCCCATGAGGGTGGTGTGAGGAGCACTGGAGGAGAAATGTGGGACTTGGTGCCCCCACAGGCAGTCCAAACTGCGGAGGACAACAAGCTGTGGGGGTCATCAGGAGGTGCTGCGGGCAGTCAGTGAGTACAAGAACTAACAGGGGCACCTCTGGCCGTGAAGGGAGATGGACAAGGACTTGAGCTTGTTTTTGAAAATGGATAGAACTTCCAAGAACAATTCCTCTTTTACCAACCTTAGTCAACACAGGGCCTCGACTCACCTGTCGAGCCATGGCACCTTTCCCTACGTAGTCCAATGTAATAACCTCCCCAGTGTCCTCTGTGATCCTGCCCTCCACAGCCGTTGCTACAGGGATAGCCTTGATTCTTCCATTTTCCCCTTCACCATGTCTGTTTATCCAGGAACTAGTCTTGATTCTCCCACCAGTCACACCAGTCCAGGAGACACTCCTACTTCACTTGCATGTCTGTGTCGTAGTTTTGCCAACACAGGGAACCCCTATGTCTATTGCAGTCCTTGCTCCGCCTTTGACAGCAAAAAGGATTCTCATCTCCTCTGTTCATTGGTTAGGATTTAGTTCAGCTATGTGATACAGAAAACCAAACAATAATGGAGATATATTTTTCTCTTACATAAAGGAGACCTAGCAGTAGGCCATGTAAGGTTGGCAGGGTGCCCTGAAGGCCAGAGACCAGGTTCCTTTACATGGAATTGTGTTATTCAACCATCATGAAGCTTCAGTCTCGTGGTGTAATGTAGTTGCTAGAGCATCAGTCATAACATCTGCATTCCAGCCCGCAGGAAGGACTGAAGGAGGGCATTGCTCCTTCCTCTAAAGGCATGTTTTGGAAATCATACACACAGCCCTTCATTTACATCCCACTGGCCAGAACTTAATCCTACACTCATAATTGGCTATGCAGGGGAATCAGAGGTGTAGTTTTTGTTCTGGATGACTTTGTACTCATCTAAAGTTTAGTTGTCCTAATACTAAGGAAGAAGAGAGAGCCGATACCTGGGCTAGCCATTGCCTCAGACCACTGCCCCAGCCCTGTTAAGTGGGGTTGTTAACCTGCAGAGTTGGCAGCTTGAGCCAGGCAAGAGACTTTCCTCCCTTCTCCCTACACCTTCCTGTAACGCCTTCTGAAGACTGGCCTAAGGCACATCATTTTACCTGATTCCTCCTTGGACTCATCCATCCTGTTTTTACCTTTTTGCTTTTGCTAGTTTTGAGCATTTCACACAATTTTTAGCCTGTCTCTGGATAGGCTAATTCTATTTTCACAATTCTGTTAAACATTTAACCAATTTACAGTATTTCTCATGCAGTACATTAGATATCATTCTGCTTATTCTCACCCCCTTTCTAGCAGGACGTAGAGTGGAGTGGGTTTCATATCCTGCACTCTCAATGGATTATGCACATTGGTACCCTTCTCAGGTTGATTTCTGTCCATAAACTGTAATGGTTCTAAAAGGAGTGAAATGTATAATTTAATTCACCAGGGGTGCACTTTGCCTCATGTCAGCCCTGGTGTCAGAACCCTGGGGGAATTCAAGTTCCTGGAGTATGACTCGGCTCCCAACTGACAAGGTCCCTGGTGTGCAGACCCACCGCCTGTGCAGATTCTGGCTCCGGCCCACCCTGATGCTGGTTTTGGTTTACGTATTAGCAGCGCATCTTGCATGACCTCTTGGGGACAGCTAGGTTGCACCAGGTACTATCTATATCGGACACTCCAGGAGCTCCTGAAAATGTCTCCAGTTGTTTCTGCAGGTATCAGCCAGCCAATGAGAGCATCCCAGACCTGGCTGTGATTCCAGGGATAGCAGGCATTGCACACAGGAGGGGTGCAGAAGTGGGCAGGGCTTGCCTGGGACTCCCCACCTTCACTGGAGACAGTGCATGCTGGCTGCAAGGCGGCTGCAAGGCTGGCCACATGGCCAACAGTTCTGTGGACAGTTGGAGCCCCAGGTCAATGTCCACGACTTTGGGGAAACCAGAGTGGGTTGGTGAGTAGTCAGACCCAGTGTTACTTTCATGTTAGCATTTACTGGGGGCTTGTTTGCCAGGCACTGGCCTGAATACTTTGCTAAAAAACCCACCCCAGCTCTGGCAGCTCAGTTGGTTGGAGTGTTGTCCAGTACACCAAAAGTTTGCTGGTTCGATTCCTAGTCAGGACACATACCTAGGTTGTGAGCTCAGGCCCCACTGGGGGTGCATAAGGGAGGCAGCCAATCAATGTTTCTTTCTCATATTGATGTTTCTCTCTCTCTTCCCCTTCTTCTCTCTCCAAAATCAATAAATATATCCTCAGGTGAGGGTTAAAAAAATCATCCCATTTAACTCCTGATTACAGCATTCCAGGGGGCACGCCCTGTTATTCTTACAATTGAACAGTTGGAAAACAGAAACTGAAGCACAGAGAGATTAAGCTTTTGTTTACTTTTATCAACTGGTAAGTGGAGGCCTTGGACTTTGGATGAGAACTCTAACCTGTGCTGATATTGGTGTGCTACAGGGCCACTCACCTGTTCTGCGGCTTCCAGAAAATGAGCTAGAGTCCAAGAAAAGAAAGGTGGTGGGGCAGGCTCCTACCATGAGTTCCTGGGACAGCTTCCTACCTGCCTCCCACTCTCCCCCACTCCCTTCCCCACTTCCGTCCCTCCCCACCCCATTTTTCTCTCCATTTTTCTCTCTCCCTTGAAGGCCTCACTGGGGGATCCTGCCTGTCAGATTTTCCCAACATCTTGGACCATGAAAATAGGTCTAGGTGACAGATGCCTGGGCATTGCTCCAGCATTCTGAAGGGGGAAGGCAGGTGAAGAAGACCCAACTCTGGGGGAGAAGAAGGGCAGGTAATGGTTTCTGCAGTTCTCAGGGACCTGTCCTCCTCTCCACCTGGGACCTCACACCTCCACCTCACTCCCATGCTCTGACAGCTCTCCTGAATGCAGGACCATGGGCACGTTCAGCCAGGCGAGGGCAGGAGGGTGTGGGGTGCCCAGCCTCCACAGTGGTCAGAGTCTCTCCATCCCATCCTGAACTCCCAGGCCACCACAGCCGTCCCTCAGCTCCCAGCCTTATCTCCCTGACTCTTTCCTCACCACCCCCATCTCAGGGCTCACTTCTGAAGCCTCTTCATTCTGCCCAGACCACCTCCTCTCCTGGGGCTCCGTGGTTTTCGGGGATTGAGATTGAAGGGGAAAGGGTGCCCCTCCCCCAGTTCCTTCTCTGTAGGCTGGAGGGCTCTTGGAAAAGTGGGAAGGAGAGTCTGACATCCTTAGGGACCCTGGAGTTCAAGGACAATGGAAAAAATTTAGGTAGTGAGGTAGAAGAATAAACAAAGCAAAATAAAACTCATTGATACAAAGAACAGATTGGTGGTTGCCAAAGGTGAGGGGTGAAGGGTGGGAGAGATGGGTGAAGGCGGTCAAGAGGGACAAACTTCTGGTTACAGGACAAACAAGTCCTGGAGCTGGAACGTGCAGGGCAGCGACTGTAGTTAACAATGTTGTATCGTGTATTTGAAAGTTGCTAAGAGAGTAAGTCTTAAAAGTTCTCATCACAAGAAAATAATTTGTAACTATGCGAGGTCATGGACCTTTACTAGACTTATTGTGATGGTCATTTCACAATATATACATATATTGAATCATTATGTGACATTATACACCTGAAACTAAGGTAATGTTATATGTCAACTATATTGCAATGAAAACAAAACAAAATAAACTTGCTACAGGCCATTTAAATAACCAGAAAGAGCATACTGCTAATCCTGAAAGTATTTTTGAAGACATTAAATATACAGTGCCCATGAGGATAGGGTTGAACAATTTTTTCACAAATATAAATTTGTGAATTATTTTTGTATATTATAGATATTAACCCTTTATCTGTCATTCACATTACAAATAATCTGCCCCCCCCACATCTATTTTGTCTACTTTGTATTATTTTGGCATCTTTCCTTTACACACAAAAACTTACTTTTTTGTGTAGTAGGATATGTGGAATTTTATTTTTATAGTGTTTGGGTTTTGCATTTTGATTAAAATAGTTTCTTCAGCTCCCAAGTTATACCCATAGTCTTATAAAGTTTCTTCCAGAAGTTTTAGTTTTTTCTCATGTCTTTGATTTAGTTTGCTTTATATTTTAATGTTGTAAGATATAACTTTATTTTCTGTTATGTGGGCAGTCAGTTGTGTTTTTAAATAAACAATTCATCTGAATTAAATTTCATCTTTGTTGTATATTCAATAATTGGATTTACTTTTGGCTCTTCCACTGTTTCATGGATCTATTGCTTATTTTTATGGCAGCACCATACTGTTTGGATTACAGTAGTTTTATAGTATGTTTTAAGTATATGACAAAGTAAGCCTCACACTTATTTTTCTGTTTTCTGGTATATTCTTAACCATTATTCATCTATGTGAATTTTAAGATAAATGCATTCACTTAAAATATTCAACTCTGTTGTGATCTAAATTAAAATTGCATGAAATGTGTACACTAATTTTAGGGAACTTGACATATTTTTGTTGTAAAAATCTTTATACCCAAGAACTTGGTACATCTTTTCCATTTGTTTAGATTTTGCTCTATGAC